TGTGTGTGTGTGTGTGTGTGAGAGAGAGAGAGAGAGAGAGTGTGTGTGTGTGTGTGTGTGAGAGAGAGAGAGAGAGAGAGTGTGTGTGTGTGAGTGAATGTGTGTGTGTGTGTGAGAGAGAGCGTGTGTGTGTGTGTGAGAGAGAGTGTGTGTGTGAGTGACAGCCGCGGCTCTGACAGTGTGTTTTACGGCTCTTGTAAGGTATACAGGAGGTAAAATGTCAATTAGAGGAAGCATCCCTGATCATTCACTAGTTCCACACCATTAATATTTATCATGGCGCTCTGCCCCGGGGCCCAGAGGCTCATGGGTAATGATGTGCACTAATGTCCGCCCCTTATTACCGCAGCGTGTGTGTGATATTAAGTGTTCCTGTCACAATGCGTTACAGCGACTGCTAACACACGCTGAGTCTCGCCATGACCCGCGGCTTTAATTAAGACGAGTCCGAGGCGAATCTCAGCGCTAAACACCTCAGACAGATCCGCTGGTATCACTTCAGCCAAACTCAACAGCACAGGGTTCAAACATTTAGTTTGATCACATACAAGGCCAGTAAAAATTGTTTAAATAAATAGTTTATCAGAAGTCTTAATTATAATTTAAGAGGTCTTAAATTTGAAGAGGGAAAAACAGTCACCGTGATACAGATAAGTGATTATTAAACTTCAAAAGGCAATGATTTTAAAGTCAAACCTGACGCCATTTCTCGTTTACAATCAATTAATGACACATTTATGACTAACAATCGCTTATGATTAGGGCTGCCACTAACGACTATTTTTATTTTGATTAATCTATCGACTAATTTATCGATTAATCGATTAATCTAAATGATTAATTTCCCACAAAAAAATGAACAATTTTACTTAAGAATATTTTATTAAACTATATTTCATTAAACCAAATGAAATCCTAAAGTAAAAAAGTAAAGTGCAACATAAAGTGCAAGAAGCAAGTGTCCATCTCATAGTCCAAATCACTGAAATCAAAGTTCAGTATTATAGTGTAAGAATGACAACATATCCACGTGTTCTAGTCTACTAATAATAAAATTATAATCAAAAAACACTTTTTAAAGGAGTATTTACCATATATATAATCAATTAATTGGAGATGCTTTTGATTATTAAAATTTAATGGAACCATTAAAATGGAATCCAGAAAATAATGGAAAACAGAATTTGGTAAAGATAAAACTGTAAAACTCAATTAATTAG